TTAAGATTAGTTTTAATTTTTTTTCCAATTTTAATTGTTTTTTCTACACCAAAAAAGTTGTGAATTGATTTTATTCAACCTGTTGTAAATAATTATCGATTTTATGATAAATATATTTCATCTATATAACAACTTGAAAAATTTTGAGTAAAACCGAGTTGATCACTTGATTAATCGTATGGTTCAATGAATTCAATGATGGGTGAGTCATACATTGTATCCATGTTCGAGTCTAACCTTCTGCTTCATATTTCTTTTATTTAGGTTAGCCAGAACTAGAATACTATAACAGACTACAATTTGCTAGATACAGCGTCACGAACGCTCTTCAGTTTTCGATTTAAAATCTATTTTGAACGAACATTCGGAAGACATGGGGGCTAAAGATTCCAAACGATTGCGGACTAGACCGGACTTAGCAACGTGACTAGAAAAACGACTAGTCTTTTTACCCATCCTTTGCTCACCTGGATACTGTCGTTGTGTTTTAATAATATCAAGTTACTCTTGAATTAAACATGATTAAGTCGTTCGCGTAAATTATTGATTCTAAGTTGTGGAAAGCATGGAAGTTGTTCAGAATAAGTTTCAAAAAAAAGTGTCTACCGTCCTGAGTGAGCTTGAGAAATAATTTCAGAGCAATGTTTTATCACGAGCAATTACCTTGTACTATTCTATGTTGATTCAAAGTTGTAATAGGTCAAGTCTTATATCTACATCGACTAGTTGATTGCTACTTGAATCAATGTTGTTTTTCGTTGGACGCATCGAACTTTTTCCCAATCACGGTTCATTTTTAACAAGTTAGTATTAATTTCTAGTCAAAAACATGTACGCAATATAGGATTCACGCCAAAATGTGGATTAGCTCAACTTCTGACTAACTTTTTATTGTTTTTAAAGGAAGTTAGCAGGAAATATCCTGACTGAGAATATTATCTCCTAGTTCAATTGATTTTTGGTGTTCTCATACAGTATACGATGATGTTTTCCAATCTTTCTGATTGATTTCAGCGAAATCGACTTCAATATAGGACCTGAAATCCACGACTTAGATCGATCTCATTCACACGCCATTTGCTGAAAAATAAATTGCTCAATCCATAGTATTCAAGAACTCAAACATACAGATTACTCAAATTTTATTACAATTTGTTTCAAAATCGTAGATTAACCATAAATATTTCCATTTTCATTTTTGTTAATAGTTCCAATAATTTATACTCTTCAGTACTTTTTTCAATCATCAATTCATTTTTGCGAAAGCTTTCTCTGATGTTTTTGTGAGTCTGATATATTGATTAGACGAAATGCTTTTTTTCTGAATTTATGAGTCAAATGTGTGAGAGAATCGAAAAGATACTTCTATTCTTGGATACATTTTATGTTTATGGATTATAGTTGCTTGGGTTCATATACGACCTAAATAGAGGTTAGTTCATATGACTGATACAATGAGTGATTCAAAATGAAAATCTTTTGCATCTATCTAGTAGTGATGGAAAACTTTCACAGTTCTCCCTACATCAGGATCAAGAATTTTGTTTGATAAAGCTGAAACCTTCTTCTAAACTATGGAGCCTTAGAAGTGTTTAGACTCAAAGTAAGAAACAGTTTTCTTTTTACAATACCGTAAAACTCTTTACCTATGCGCATACAGTCTTTTATGTTCGATGATACTCCGCTTTTCAGCCTGGATGTATTCGGTTGGTTGTTCTAGGATAGTTTAATACTGGTAGTGTGCATGATGCAAGATATGGGCACACAACATCCTTATTAACAAATGGAAAAGTATTAATTACTAGTGGATCAGGAAATAGTTCAGAATTATATTAATTAAGTCAAAAAAATGATCAATCAATAATCTTATGTTGATAGGTACATGCAATCTTGCATTAAAACACTAATTTGATGAAGAGAACTATTAAATGTGAATAATACTAAATAGCTTTCTCCGATGATTTTGTTTACATTTTTATACATTGGAGAATTCGATTAAAAACTTTTCCACGCTTTTCTTGTTTTATTTTGGTGCGTTAAGTTTATTGTGGTGAAAAAAGACACAGCTATTTCATGGTTTCATTAAATTTCCTATTCTTCTTTTGTCAGACTATTCATTTTTTTTTATATAAATAATCACTGTCTTGCTAATGCTTACAGTTACATTGACAGATCGAACTTTTACATTTATCGTGTGAATTTTAAAAGGTTTATCTTTCCGCGTGAAGAAAGGTAGCATTTTGGTAGTTCCTAAAGTAAATAAAAGCAAATGAGTGTAGGTGGATGTAGGTGTTGGTCTTCTGCCAGCATAGGTCCACACAAACACCCTACATTCAACAACACCCATTTTCACTCTAGCAAAGCTAATTGTGAAATAGCTGATTTTAAAGAAATGCTCTTTAACCCATTGCTTATTTTGTAATTTTTAACGCCATGACCGCCCCTTTGTCCTTTCTAACTAGATCATCCATTATAGGAAAAATGCTGAGTGAAATGAGAACTCTTTTTGTACCGTAATTTGGTTCATACCAGCAATTTTCATCAACTCTTAACTGAGAAGCAATTATAATAGAGATTTGCGACAGGAATGAATATACGAGCTGATTCAACATTAGGATGTGGGTGATGAGTAGATCCACGCTGATATGTAGTATATGGGTGTGGGTGTGGGTGTGTGGGTGCTGGCAATGTTTTATCACCCCCGACACCCCCACCCACCCACACCCACGCGCACCCACACCCTTTTGAATTAAGAAAATCCTGACAGGATCCTAGAATTCCGTGTTTACACGCTTTTTTTCAGAAATCATCAATTTCCTGGTTGATATCTTGGTTGAAAAACCAATGGTAAACTTCTCAGGGTAGTAAGAAATCTTGATTGGAATTGTGTCAGAATCCTAAAATTCCGTGGCTACACACTTCTTTCAGGATTTAGTTATTTTCTCAGGAAAAAAAGCAGCGAATGCTTGCAGGATCCCGATCATATCTATCAAGAACCTAATATTGAAACATCAAAGATTTTCTCTAGACTTGCATCTTCAGGGAGTCTGACAGTGAGGATATCTTTACTATAGTTAAAGTTATTTTTAGCAAATAATTGCAATTCAAAATGTACATATTCAGACTTGTAGAGAATTTCACGGGCTATTCGAATATATAATTACTTTTTTTAAAATGTGCATTTATAGTGAAGATATGTTAAAAATACCGAGTTAAATTTTTTTTTTCTACGATGATGTGTGAAGTTTCTATTTATTGAAGTTAGAAAGAAAAAATAAAATTGAATCGTGAAGCAATAAAAATCAAACTTTCATTCTGGTTTATCGTTTTAATAAAAAAAAATAATAATAAAATCAATGTAAGTTTATAGATAATCAACCATAATCTTTGTGTTAATATCTCGAGAAAGAATTTCAGAGAAGCGTTCGATCAGTGCACTGCTAGTTGTACTATTGGCGGCAATATCTCCAAACTTCTTAATCAATTCATTGCCTGTCTCTGCTTTGTACATTTCACCACCACCATTATTTGCCATTCGGTGAAGTTTTTTCTCCTCTTCACTTCCTTTTGTGATGTCTGGACCAAAACCAATCGTATGACAAATGAAATTATGATCTTTTGCGTATTTTGATTTCAGTTGACTAATTATATTTTCAGGACTTTCACTACCATCATCGGTACCATCCGACATAAAGATCATGACAATCGATGCTTTTGTTTTATCATTTTCTATTTCTTTTGTCGCTTCTTTCAAACCTTTTGCATAATCTGTACCACCACCATGAATAGAAAGTGTACGAGGAGCACTAGCAACTTTTTGTCTTGAACAAATCGTATGTGCGCTGCTATCGAACTGAACAACAGTAATGAGATCATCTCCACCTTGATCATCATGACGTCGTGTCAAGAAATTATTATATGCTTTTTGTAATTCGTCCCAATGTGGTCTCATTGAACCTGATTCATCAAGAACAAAAACAAAATGATATGATTGGGCTTCCTGTTGTTTAGTATCAAATAATTCAATGTCTTTAAATGCTCTTTCAGCGTCGCTTGCTTTGCTAGTATATTGAGCTTTGAATGCATCCCTCATTTTAGCCGTTGCTTTTGGTTTAATAACACAAAACATAAGATCGATTTCGGCATCTTTTTTCAATAGACGATCGCATATACCATTCAATGTGTGTTTACCGTTTCCCTGAAATAGAATGAAAAATTATTCATTATTTTAACGTCGATATTTCTCGAGAGTTCGCTCCTAGAGAAATCATCTAGTTGAGATATCTTTTTGCATCAATCCTGAACATTTTTTTTTCTTTATTGAACTTCAATCAACTATGGATTACTGTTTTGTTAGTAATATTGGTTTTTTTGTCTTATATTAAGGAAAAAATAAATGAATGTGATAAATACTAATTTTATTGTGACCAAAAACTCTTATCTCATTAGTGTTAATTTCTCTAGTGATAATTAAATAAAAGTTTAATCAGATTGCTTACAGTCTTATAATCATCATTTGCAAGATCATTATGAAGTTCTGGCCCATGACCAGGTGCATCAGTAATGAGTACAATGAATCGAGCATTTGTTTTACTCCAATTCAATGTTAAACATGTATCAAGTGCACCGAGTACATCTTCCGGAATATCACCACCTCCACTAGCCGTTATTCCATTTAAAAATTTCATTACATCATCTGTTTTTTCTGTAAAATCTATTTTCATAATTGGTGGCTTATCTTTCAAATCACGATAAGCAACAATGGCAAAACGTAGTTGAAGTTTAAGTGATGGATATTTTACTTTAACTTCACCTTGAATACCTTCCATAATAGTTTTCATTTGACCTTTAACTGCTGCTAACCATCGTGACATGCTACCAGTACAATCAAGACAAAAACAAATATCAATTGTTATATTCGATGGTAGTTGACCATTTTGTATTAACATTAATTCTTGTTCACCAGCCAATTCATTGATCATATCACTGAAAGCTTTCTTTGAAAATATATCTTCGAAAAGATTATCTTTAGATATAGTATCTTTCGTATCATCGGTAGGTTGTTTCTTGTCGTTATCTATTGGCGCCCATTCGGACAAAACAATTTGTGCTTCTTGTTCGAATAGAGCTCGTAAAGCTTTTGATAATCCACGAACAGTTGCACATTGCAAATATCTTTTATAAACTAATTGAAGATTAGTTGAATCAATGCCAATAGCTATAGCTACGAGATCAATGCCATTATTTTCAGCGCGTTGTTGTACTAGAGCAAGACGATTACCACAATTACTATAACCATCCGTAAACATAAATATTTTCTTTTCACCTCGTGTAGAACATTGACTAAGTAGATCAATAGCAACTTCAATAGCATCTGCATCTTTTGTATCTTCATCTTGATCGAACCGAAGTTCATTTACAAGTGTATAAATAGTTGCTGCATCCCAAGGTTGTTCATTCGATTTAATCAAACGTACTTCACGACCGAATATAATAATACCGAATTGAGTTAAATC